AAGGCCTTATAGAACAAGACCTTCTAAAAATGTTAAAATGTATCACTGGCACGTGAAACCTTAAATCAGAGTGAATAAATGAAGACTCGGCACTCCACTTCTGAAAGGTTGCCGACCCCTGTTATATTCTTATCATAAGCATATTTTCATAAAGAATATGGAATGATCACATTTGCAACAAAATATTCCCTTTTACTCTCCATTTTTCATATTTTAACATGAAGCCAAATGCTATTTTCTGTCTTAATAACGGTAAAAGAAAATCTTGTTAATTGCTATCTTGTAACAATATTTCTCCAGGCTTTGAAATATTAAACATTTGACCCATACTCTGTAATATATTTGAGCTTTTGCATAGATTGGGACACTCCTCAAAAGCTCTTTTGCTTTCAAATCAGTTGATAACGCCATAAGAAGAAACTAAATTGTAGGTAAATAGGAAAAGTTGGTGTTTATTTTTGCTTTTTAACCATTGAATCAGCTGTTTGCAGGAAAAAAATGCTGACATACAAAAATTGCCAAGGGCAGTAAGTAGAGAGAAGAGTTTATATAACTATCTAGAAATGTGTCAGGTACTGGAAATTCATACCGCTAGTACTTAATAGCCTCAAGTGCTTCCAGTGAGATGCTTTTATAAATTAAAATCACAGCTATCATAGCTAAAAGGGACTATTGTGATCATCTAGTCTCACCCCTTATATAAGGCAGGCCACAGAACTTTCCCAAAATAATTCTTACATCTTTAAAAAAAAAAATCACCGTATTTAAGGTACTGTGAAGAGTTAAAGCAAATCTTTATAAGGCTAGGGGAAAAAAGCATGTTAGAGGATTTTAGTCCTTTTTACCTCCAAGTCATGGATTCAGTGTAATTTTGCTTGGTTCACAGTTCTGATAGAAACATAGGAGAAGTGCTGTCAGCAGACAAATTTAACATGTAAGATCTTGCTCAAATATTGTACTGGAGAGTGGCAATCTACTTCCTGCGTGAAAGGCATGTGATGATCAAGAGGTCTGAGGGGCAAACAAAAATAGCTAACTGTTCATGTGTCTGTGAAATCCCGCAAGGAGCTCTTGCAGTCAATGTAAAATCACCATCTACATTGCCTTCCGGTATCTTAGCCCTTTGTAAACTGTACGAAAATGTCCCCACCCTAATTACTAACAAACTAGATTTCTGATTTCACTTCCTTATTCCTGACCTACTGTGCTTTATTCCCTCTGTCTTATCCCATAGACCTCCTGATTTCCATTCTCTTGTGGGGAAGAGTTCCTGTTATACTTGTAAGTACCATTTTGCTACAACACTTAGTTCATGATTTTAACTTGCAAAGTCTGAGTAGGCAAGTGGATTTTTGTCAATCGTTGCTTGAAGACTAATATGTTTACAATTGTACAATACATAAACTATAGTTGAATTAAGGGATTCTGGTAACAATATAAACTGTGAGCAAAATTAACTTGTTTTGTTCCTGTCGCCATATCTCTGAGAGAATTGTAACATTAATTTGTGTACATTTGAAATGATAAAAATCCGACTTCTCTCCTTCCCTTAATCTCTTGCTGTCATCTCATGTGCACCTCCCCACCCCAACCTCCTGTGTCCTGTCTTATTTTAAACCACATTCCTTTCCTTACGTTCTTTTCTTGGTACCCTTTACTATAGTACCTTAGTTGTCCCTCTTGAGTGTTTTTTTTTTAACAAATCCTACAAAAGAGATTTCACTCTTCCTTCCTTGCATGTGGCAGGGTTTGTTTAAAAAAAACCAAAACACAAAATTAAAATGTGAGGTTGTGTAAAGGTACTATTGTAAGAGGGATAGTAGGGGAAAGTGGGTTGTGCATTGCATTTTTCCCTCAATGTGTTTGGTCTATCTCATTTTCCCTACTTCCCTAGTTTGACAGTTTGAATTCAATAATACTTCTGTGGCACCTTTCACTTGGGAATCTCAAAACATTTTACAAACAATACATTGATGTGGGTTCTCTGAAGGCCCTACTCTTCGTGGGGGGATTAGCGGTAAGTTAATATATAGGGGTGATGCTTGCTTCTGTGGAGAGCAGTATGGCATGAGGTTACATAGGATGCTTTTTATGTTCTAGTGTTGGTCAACACCAAAAAAGTAGATACAGAATTTCTCTCTCACTCAAACTAGCCTCAAAACCAGTCATCATTTTGGCAGTGTGACCTCTCTTATTTTCTTTAGAGGAAGAAAAGTTTACATTTAATAACTTGATACCTTACAGAACTAAAACCAATATAAATTGAGAATGGGAGTGACTTGTAATGATGCAGTAGAGTAATATAAGTGCTCTTATTATAAACCCCTGAAGATTATTTTAAGTGTGGTTCTGCTCTGAAAACTGAGTTTATAAAAGTGGAATCTAAGGGTTCTCCATCTTACTGTCCCAATGATTTCTATATCAGATTTGCTCATTTCAGATGCAGAATATTTTTTCTAACTACCCAGCTTGCAGACTGAAACTGGGATCTGAAATTCAAGATGTGCTATTTCTTGATTATCACCAGGAATAAAGATTCTCAGCTACACCATTGTCTTTAATGTATGTCCTTTGTTACATTGTGAAACACAGTTGCCTTCATTTGGAGCTTTTTCTCCGCGCACGTGTCCCCCGATCTCTGCACTTGCCAGGCAGGTCTTCGGTGACCTAGCCCTCCGGCCGAGTCGCATTCTGTCCATGTGTGAAACAAACTAATTCCTTCCGGGGTATACAGTCCAAAATGTCCTGCAGCCCTCCTTGGCCTCAGTCTTTAACCCATCACAGTACCCTCAGTTGGTCCAGCTAGGTTGCAGGGTTCCTACTCTAGTACTGAGCAGCATCTCTGGGGACTCCTTGCCTCTACTTGGGGCCTCAGTGACCCCAGCCTTCGTGCTGAGCCACCCGTCTTGGACTTGCTACCCACAGCTCCCTGCTAAGTCAGTCCCAGTAGTGTGGCTCCCTTCCCTGGAGTGCCACAGTTCTAATTCCCTTCTCCCCAGTGGTTGGTGGGAAGGGGGCCTGTCCCACCCCCTGCTTTGGGTCCAAACCAGGGACCGTTTACGTATAGCAGCCTCATACTGTGTCCCTTTACTAATTGCTGCTCTGGTTCCCTGGGCTACTTCCCTATAGCCTGTCTTAGTTGAGTCCTGGAAGCGACTCAGGAGCTCCTTCATTGCTCCCCTGGTGTGAGAATTAAATATACATTCTCTGAGACCCTTGGGAAGACCAGATTTGATTTACCAGATATTTCTGAGGTAAAAGAAAGTGGGTGGAACCCAAACAGAAACAGAAAACCAAACCCACGCTTTTAATTCCCTCTATTAATCATGAAGAAGCAAAACAGAAAATAAGCCATATTTTAAAATAACCCTTTTGCAGACCATCTTTAAGATTGTTGAAAATGCAACTACTGTTCAGAAAAATTGACTTAGTCCTGCCATCCAGGAATCATTTTTGACCGTTGCCTTTTTACAACACAAACTGCTTAATAGTAGTTATGAAATAGGAAATGTTTGTGTGGGAGAGGGGGTGCGGCGGTGGGGGTGGGAGCAAACTCATGGTTTGTACATGAATAGTTGCAGTAGATTCCTGGTGACTTCTTAAAGACACGTAAGCTATTCTGTTTCTAGAGCTGGTTTCTATGTGAGGGACCAAGTTACCAGACGGAGAGGGGTTGGACGGTGAGTAGCTTTTCCTGAGTCCGAGGGTTGTCTCTCTCTTCGATCTTGCTGTATCAAGAGGGGATCATTACAGCCTATCATTTCATGTGGCGGGGAGACCTTGAGTAGGCCAGTATTAGGGGAAGTAATTGCTTTCATTGCTTATGCTTAAAATTGGCTCTGTTGCTCTGAACAAAAGAACATCAGAATGGACATACTGGGTCAGACCAATGATCCATCTAGCCCAGTACCCTGTCTTCTGACAGTGGCCGGTGCCAGATGCTTTAGAGCCAGTGAACAGAACAGGGCAATTTATTGAGTGATCCATCCCCTGTTGTCCAGTCCCAGCTTCTGGCAGTCAGATCTTTAGGGACTCCCAGAGCATAGGGTTGTGTCCCTGCCCATCTTGGATAATAGCCATTGATGGACCTATCCTCCATGAACTTATTTTTGAACCCCATTGTAGTTTTAGCCTTCAAAACATACCCTGGCAATGAGTTCCCCAGGTTGACACTGCGATGTGTGAAGAAGTACCCGGTACTTCGTATGTTTGTTTTAAACCTGTTGCCTATTAATTTCATTAGGTGACCCCAGGTTCTTGTGTTCTGTGAAGGAGTAAATACCACTTCCTTATTCACTTTCTCCACACCATTCCGGATTTCATACACCCCTATCACATCCCCCCTCAGTTGTCTCTTTTCCAAGCTGAACATTCCCAGTCTTTCTAATCTCTCCTCATATGGAAGCTGTTCCACACCTGTAATCATTTTTATTGTCCTTCTCCATACTTTCTCCAATTCTAATATCTTTTCCTGAGATGGGGTGACCAGAATTACATGCAGCATTCTTGATATGTTGAACTGCTCAAGAAGGGACATCAGTATCCCAAAGGGTTCTGATGGATCTTTTTCTTGCTTTCTCACATGTCAAAATAGACCCATCATGAGTAAGGTGGTGTGCTCACATGGGGAAGGGAAGTGCAGAACTGAATGTTAGAGAAAAGAAACTGAACACAAACAAAGCTAATTCTTCACAAAGAGGCTTTCTTTTTTGAACAGTCAGGGTCTTGACTAACCTCCTTACATCTATTACCAATAAGATCTTGGGTAGATGCAGCTGAGAATTTTAATATTTCTATTTTTACTGTTTTGTATGATTTAATTTCTTCCTTTCCTCTCAGCTTGATCAATGAAAATAGTCTAGTCAGTTTTGCTTTCAGGTTCTCTTGCACTAGTTCTGCAGTGCTCAGATTGAAATGGTGCAAGGCAATGTTTGTTGGGGAGTGAGAAGCCTGTTGCTATTGGAATTAGTAACTAAATCATGGAAACATTTCTTTTGGGTTTAAGTTTTGTAAAAAGAAGCTTTTACATAAGAATTTAATTTTTGGGCCAAATGTGAATGGATAGGATCCCTTTGTTTTATGTTTATAAAGGCCATTTAGCATTATTTGGGTTTTTTTGTACATCCATTTTTTCAGTAATTCTCTGTTACTTTATAGTACCTGCAATGATTATTTATGAAGGCAGATAAAATATTTGCCTCTTTTTTTCTGTCTCCACTACTGTAGGAGGTAGATAGGGGGAATTTCCAGTAAATGTGTGCCTTTTCTGGTGAAGTAATTGCTTTTACTTGGCAGACCAACTTTAATTAAAGAATGTGTTAATATCCTGGAATATTATGACGACATTATTTTTTTCTTAGTCCACTCTAGTGGCGATTTTTCTTTAGATATGCTCTACAACACTAATTTTAATTTGCTTATAACTTGTTTGTAATTATTTTTGACTACTCAAAACTGGCTCTGGAGAAAGAAGCTTGTTGGATCAACCTCTCTCCTTTCCAGATAACTCAGTTAATCTAGTATAGCCATAATTCGACACATGCAGTTTGTTAAATGGAAAGATCGAGACGCTTACACAGTCTGTTTTTCTTCTAGATTTTTATATGGCACCCTCCACTAAAGCATGTGAGCACATCCCAAAACGTGCATAAATCTGTCTCCTCCAGTCACTAGAGACTGGGCTTTTTTGTTTGATCTGATGTTATTTTGGGAAGGCTAGGTTGGAATGGATTTTGCATTTTGCTTTTTTGCATATTGGATGTTGCGTTCCATCTAGCTTCATTTCTTTCAGTACTTGGGAATCCCATGCTTAAATTGTTGCAAGTGGCAGAAGAGTTTGGGAGAGAGTACTTTCAAGGTCTGGCTATGTTTTGATAACTTCCAGTGTAATTTGCTCACTTTTTCACAGGAAGAGTATAAATTGGCACATTCTTTTCTGACCAAAATAGTAATACTAGTACAAAAACTGTGCAGACCAATATAGGGAAATTTTAAAGGGGGGGTTTAGCAAACCAAAACCTTAATACAAAAAACAACTTACTTTGCAGGTTTTCCTGGACCTCCAGCTATTTTTCCCCCCTTTAAAACGAGTGCTTTCTTCTCCATCTTAATTATAAGTTTGCTACACTATCCAAGCTGTGCCACCACTATGCTGAGTGGAAATTACAGTAATGTCATAAATAATAATTTCACTTCCCTGCAGGATGAAATAGGAGGAATGGGATTTTAAACAATGAATGCAAATTTAAACAAAGATTTTTGTATATTTGGTTTAATTGGGG